CAGCCTGGAGGGCCCCCAGCAGCTGCACCAAGCTGGCTGCCACACCTGCCTAGCGTGAGGCCCTCAGACCCTACTTTCCGTGGGGAGGGCCTCCTCCGCTCTCCCTCCCCGCCCTCCTCCTCCCTCTTGACTCCACGTGTCTCCTCAGAGAACAAGGGCTCCTTCCGTCAGCCTTCGTCACTCCTTCTCTCCTCTGGGCTGAGAAACTGAATGTGACTGGAAGTAACCCGGCAGCAGCCGCCACCGCAAGGGGCTGTCTAGGGTAGCCGCCTCCCATTGGCTGGGCCTCATGAGGAGATGTGGCAGCCTGGCCCCACCTCCCACCAGCTGCCAGGGCCTCAGGCCCTGGCCAGAGACTTGCCACTGGCTCCTACCTGGGCAGCCTGGCCAGGTAAGGCAGGCTTCCCTGCCTTCCTGTCACCGCACCCCCCATGCCCCGCCCGCCACCTTCCCACTGCCTCCCCCCCTGCAGTGAAGCCTGGATCAAAGGCCCCACTTTGGGCCTTAGCCAGAAGCTGGCGGGATTGTGGTGGGAGGGGGGCCTCGTGGGAAAGGAAGTTGTAGGGGTAGAGGGGGGCTGTGGGAAGAGCTTTGAAGGCCGGAGACCAGGTATGGGCACCCCTGGGGCAGGAAGGCGCCCACTTGAGCCTGGATGGGCTGGAGATGAAAGGGGCATGTCCACCCCCTCCCCCCAGCAGGCAGGATGTCCTGGAGGGAACCAGAGCTCCAGCCTGTCAGTCTGCCCCTGTGTCTCCCTTGGCTGTCTCTTCTGTGGTGCGACCTCCCCCCACCTTGCCCTATAGCCTGAGGCTGTGGAGGGAGCGTAAGCTCCGGATCAAGGGAAAGGGTAGTTTACATCATCCGATGGGCCAGAGGTTATGGTCTGCTGTCCCATTCTGGGCATTGCCCTCCACCCCTGCCCTACCGGGAGCCACTCTGAAACAGCGTCCGATTACATACTACTTACTACATGCCAAGCACTGTTCTAAGTCCTTTACGTGTCAAAAAAAAAAATGTAATCCTCACCTTAAACCCATGTGATAGGCATAATTATTAGCTCCATTTCGCAGATGAAGAAACTTGAGGCTCAGAGATGTTAAGTGACTTGCCCAAGGTTGCACAGCTGCGGCTGGTGAGACTGAGGCAGGCTGGCTGCAGAGGGCAACCCTTCCACCACTATGCAGCACTGTCTCTGCCACCATGGGAAATGACTGAACGGGAGAAGTTAGAATGCCAGCTTCACAGAAGGGAATGGACCTCGGGGAGCAATGGGGCCTGGTGGAGGGGAGGCTGCTCGGGCGAGTGGTTTGGCCAGCCTGGGAATGAATTGGCAGGGCATCCCAGTGCCCAGGCCTGGGGCAACTGAGACTTCAGCCAGGGTTTCAACACTGGTTTTTGCATCATTTCTTCTCCTCACCCCCCAGTCTGTGACAAGCCAGATGGAAGAATCGAGAATTAGTAGACGTGCTGGAAGCCCTGCCTTCTGCCACCTGGAAGGCGTCTCTTCTACTCACCAGGGCATGAGGCGGCCCAGGCGGGTCCAGGAAGATTTGCTAATGCAGAAGCCCACCAGGGGGTCTGTGAAGGCATCCCACGCTCGGCCCACAAATAGGATGATGGAGGCAAAGAAAGGTTCCACCTGGAATGGGGAACAGGTACAAGATGACCCCTTCATCCTTCTACTCATCTCAACCCTCAAAGGTAGGCAAAAGCAGGGGGGCCCCCTCCGCGTCTCAGCCAGGCCCTTGGGCCTCTGCGCTGCTCTCACACAGGCCTTAAGCATCCTCACTTGCCTGTTAATAGCGATAATAACAGTTCTCTGATAGCAGTCAGTAGCAGTGTGTGCCTCAGAAGTTTTTCCAGATCTGCTCCCATATGTCCTCCCTTCCACTGCCCTTGAAAACACTCCCACCCATTAGAATGAATCCAGAATCCTTTCCATGCTTCGCTCTCACAGCCCCAAGCTCCAGCCACCTGCTGTCAGAATGGGCATATGCTGGGTGACCACAGTGGGCCTCAATTTCCCCATCTGTACAATGGGAGTTAGGATCTCTAGCTTATAGGACTGGAGTTCACATCCCTGTCTTACAGGTTAAGGTCTGTCTTGGCTGTGCAAAGAGGAATCTTTAGATGCTTTTAAAAAGTGGTCGGTCACTATCCACTCAAACTGTCCCCTTCTCCACAAACCTTTTAGGCCCAAAGAGACAGCTTCTCCGGAAGAGAACACTCTTCCTTATATCCATCACAGCTCTTACTGCTTTTGCCCCAGGAAGCCAGGAAGCTAGCGGCCTCCCCACACCGTAGCTTCCCCATCTGACTTTCCCTACCCTCCCACTCCTGACAACAGCTCTACACTTTGATTGCAGCTTCCTCGTGTTTGTACCCCACTTAGGACCCCAGCCCATGGGATCTGCTCAAAAACGAGCTGCTTGAATGAGGCTACTTGCCCTTGCTGCGGCTCAGCGTTCCCCACCTGGAAATGGATACAACTAAGGTGCTTTGCTTGCAGAGTCAGATGCTACACAGAAAAGCCAGCCAGTGCAGCGTGTGGCCCTGGAGCTTCCCTCTCTCCCATCCAAGCAAGATGAATTCTCAGGATGCTAGACTCCTGGCCAAAGCTTCTCAGAACACAGAGGAGCCCTGATTCACTCTAAGTACCTCTCCCAGTCAAAGACCCCGTGTACTGTGCACCTTGCCTGAGCCCAGCCCTGGGGGGCCCCTCTGCCCCCTGCTATGCTTCTGCTTCTTAGGTGAAGGTGAGTTAAGCCTGGTGACATCTAGCAACCCCTGAGTTGGGCCATCTGACTGTTGTCCAAATGGGGACATGGTGTACCAGTCTCTTCTTAGAACAGTGTCACCAGCAGGCTCCATTCTCCCTCACGCCACCACCTACCCCTCCAGGCTCTGTTGCTCCTGCCAGGCAAGAAGTTGCCTGACCTCACCACCTAAGATTCCTGGGGCAGACAGATTCCTCTGCTGGATACTTTCCAAAGCCTTCTTATTTCTCACCCACTGCTGACTCTGAGAGGCAGCAAAGTAAGGGTTCCAGTCCCATTTCACAGATGAGGAAAACTGAATGAACCTACCCCAAGTCCCTAGTCCTTCTCACCTCAGGATGGTGGAGGAGCCCTGGCAGGCTCAGCCAACTTACCTGAGCCACATCCAACAGGTAGATCTGCAGGAAGAACCCCAGGGCACAGCCCGTCACCTGGTAGGGGGCCCCTCCAACTGCATAGCAAAGCTTGTTACAAATGGACAACTGTTGTTTCTTCTTCGGTTCCTTCTGGGAAGAAGAGGAAAGGATGAAAAAAGACCCAAGATCCTGGCTTCCAACCTAGAATGTTCTAAAGGCAGGACCATCCCTCCAGCCAACTTTGCCAGGAGGAACAAGACTGCCTTGCCCTGTTCCCACCCAGAGATCTCACTTCCCACAAGAAAAGAAAGGTATTCTCTGTCTTAGGAAACTTCCATACTGAGGAAGTTGCCCCTAAGCCACCCCACTCCCAGATTCTGAGTTAATTTAGCAGCCCGCCATCCCTAAAAGACTCCCCCCAGGGTCTCAGCCATGCTGCTGTCAAGTTGCAGGGGGGAGCATGCACCAGCAGTGGACTCGTCCCCACCCAGCACCAACCGCCACAACCTGAAAATCCTCTTGCCAAGAGCCGCCTAAGCCCAGCCCTTGCTCCCGCCCTAGTTCAGAGGCCGAGACCCACCTGCCTACTGGGTGAGGACTCTAGAGAGCTGTAGGGGCCCAGCCCAGCTGGCTGCGGGCACAGCTGTTCCTTCATCTGTCCCTGAGCCACCGTGGCCCCTGTAGACAGCCAGAGCTTCAGGCAAACCCAGGAGCTGTCCTACCCTCCCTCTTGCTGTCCCCCATCTCCTGCTCCTAGGGAACCCTGGAGAGGGGAGGAGCGGCCTCTGGGTGCCGGGTCCCTATCTGGGTGGGGCACTAGGAAGACTGAGGTTGCCCAGGGAAAGTGGAGATTACTCAGATGAGGTAGGAGCCTAACTGCTCACCCTGGCTCTTTGCAAGGATCAGTTAATAAAACCAAAAGGAAAAGGCAGTTCTCTCTTGCCTGAGACCCACACCACCTGGAGCCGCCAGGCTTCGTGTGGTCCTTCATGAGTTCCAAGGAAGCCTGGGACGGGGTCTAAGGTCAGGAGGCACAAAGTACCCGCGCAAGCGCCAACACCCACACTCCCACCTCGGAACGCCTCGGAAGAGGCTCCGGTTCTTATGAATGAACTTGAGCTGTGCTCACGGCTCACCGCAGAGCCGAGCCGCAAGCGTGGGCCTGTGGGGGTGGGGAGCAGGGGCTGCGAGTTGGGGAACTAACGGGATTTCCCCGGGGCTCGGAGGAGGTCTTTCTGGCTTCCAGGGCAGCAAACCTAAGCCACTCATCACGGAAGAACGCAAAAACGATTCAAAGAGCCGGACACCACGTGAAGCTTCTGGCTGGGCCGCCCGGCGGAGGGGCGGGGTAGGGGGTGCGCAAAAGGGGGCGCGGGGTCCCCAAACCTCCATCAGCATCAGCCCCCGTACCCAGGACACCGCCCCCCACCCCGCCCGCCCCGGGCGTCCCGGAACCGAGCCTGTACCCCAGACGTCCCCGCCTCCGCTCGCCCTCACCCCCAGCCCTCCGCCCGGGGCCCGGGGGCCCGGGGGCCCGGGGGGGCTCACCTTGACCTGCGCCGGCCGTTCAGCGGCTGGGAGGATGCCGGTGGGCAGCAGCCCGGCCGCGGAGCCGCTCTCGGCGCCCTCTCCCTTGGCCATGACCCGCGGGCCCCGCCGCCCGGGACCGGGACGCCGGGTCGCTCCTCCGCTCCGCCGGCCTCCGCGCCGCCCGGGCTCCCGTCGTGGCTGCCGCTCGGCCGCGCGCTGCTACCCTGGCGGGCGGGCGAGGCGCACGCTCCCCGGCGCGCCCCTCGCGCCTCTTAAAGGCTCGCCCGGGCCTCCCAGGCCAATCCCGCGCCGCCCCGCCCGCAGCCAATCTCTGCGCCCCGCGCCGCCCTCCGCCCGCCGAGCTCCCGGCAGCTCCGCCGCTACGGCCACGTTCTCAAAAGCCGCATCCGGCTGAGCTTACTCCCCGCGGCCCCGGGAGGAGACCCGGACGCTCATCTGACGCGCGCGAGGAAACTGAGCCTAAGGCTGGAGGGGAGCTGCCCGAGGTCCCCCGGAGTGAGTTCTCCCCGAGGCTGGCCTGCAGCCCAGGCCCTGACCGCCCCCTCCACCCCTCCACACGCCCCCTTGGGGAGCGGGAGCCCCCCTGGCCTCCAGACCTGCAGGGAGGATGCAGGCCGGCACTCCCAGTGCCCCTGGCCCTCTGTCGTCCCCCGAGACCCACGTCCCCCTTTCCAACACTGGCTCCTCTGGGCGATGGGGGGACCGACGAGGCAGGCTGCCTCTGCTGGCAGGGGGGCTCCCAGGTGTGGGGAGGAGCCGGGGCCACAGCCACTGTACACCGTGGTAATCACAGTGGCCTGTTATGGGGGGGCTTTATGCTTTCCTCCATGCTTGACGTGATCTCATTCGGTCCTCCCGGCAACGACCTGAGTATGGGACCATCATCCCCATTTTATAGCTGAGGAAATGCAAACTTAAGAGAAGTGAACCAGCTGTTCACTTCTCTTATGTGAAGCTGTTATGCAGCAGAGCCAGGCCTGGCAGGTTTTGCCAGTTTCCAGAGCCTTCTTTCTCTTAACAGCCCTGCTCTGTCCCTCTCAGAAAAAAAAAAAGACCAGAAGGCTAAATGGGGTTATATGTGTCTCCCCAACTAAAAGCCCAGGGAGACCCAGAGCTGCGGGGGCCCTCTGGTTTGCAACAATCAAGGAAAGATTTGAAAAAGAGAGGACTGAGCAATCTAACCCTTGAAAGAAGGTGGGCATTAGTCTGGAACAGACGCCAGACCCAGATCCTTAAAATATGCTTTTCTACCACCCGGTGGGTCCCTCATGCCAGCATCACCCCAGGCTTCCCAGACACTCAAGAGGCCAGGTGGGGGCCCTTTTGTTCTAATTAGCGAAGGGGCTGCTGGGATTCTCAAAGGCCACTCAGCCCTGTTCTTGTGATTGCTCAGCTTCCGGCTCCTTTTTTCTTTCTTAAGATTTCCGATCTCAGGGAGGAGAGATGAGATCTGGCTATCCCAGGATGGCCACACCAAGCCTCCTCACGTGCCCTAGCTGCTCCCATCTTGGCACACAGCTCTTGGTCACTGCTGAGCAGAGAAGGCCAGGGTGCGGCAGCTGCATACGGTGAAAAAGGTGTGGACTGGCCCCCATGGCTCCACGCAAGCAGTGTGTTGCCCTTCTGTCTCTTCCCTTCTCTGGGCTTAAGTCGGCTGTATTAGTCTGTGATCCCTCCAGCCCTAAATCCTTTACTCCCATATCACCACGCAGTGATTTCCACCCCCCCCCCCACCACCATGAACCCCAGGAAGACAGGAACCACATCTATTTCACTGCTGTCCCCACAGACTAGCTGGGACTTGACTCCTATTAGGAACCTAATAAATATGTGTTCAGTGATGCATGCTCTGTCTTCCTCCGGTACAAGCACAAGAGGAGCCCATTTGGAAAAGCCCCAGGCTCCTTCATTTACTAGTTGTGTGGCGGGTCCTGAGCAGCTCAGTTACCCTCCCCATATGTAAAGTGGAGATATTAATGGTGACTACCTAGGAGGGTTGCTTGGGGTATGAAACCAAAAAAATGCACAGGAAGTGCTTAGGACAAGTACCTGGGAGCCGAAGCTGGGCTGGTCCCCCTCCTGGCCTGATTCCAGCCTGTCAGTGTAGCAATGCAAGATTCCAGATATGGCCTGACCACGCCAGCACAATAGGCCTATTATTTCCCCCAGTCTGGACGTGACACACTGTTAATGCAGCCTAAGACTGCAGGGCTCCAGAGCCTTTCTCTCCCATGATTAGTTCCCATCAGGTTGTGATCAACTAAATCATTCAGACCCTTTTCACCAGAGCTGGGGTCAAGTCAGGTCTCTCCCATCCTCGGCTTTGTGTGAATGTCTTGAAGCTCCCAGAAGGACAATGTCATCTTGCTCATTCCAGCCTGTAGAAATTATTTTGAATGCTGTTTCTGTTGCTCGCTGCTTTCTCTCCCTAAGTTTAGATCCAGGCTGCTCCTTGCAACTTCAACTCCACCATCCATACTGTCGATGGGAACAGAGCCCCACAACATTCCTCCGGAGACATTCACCAGCAATAGAAGCAGAGCACCCCTAATACAAAAGTTCCCAATTATTGAGCACCCACTGTATGCCAGGCAAGCACCATGCTAAGTGCTTTGTGTAACACCATCTCATTTACTCCTCACAACACCACTGGGCAGGGGGGTAGTTGGGGTAGTTTTTATCCCTCCCCATTTTATAGATGATGAAACTGAGGCCAAGAGAGGGGAAGTAGGGACTAGTTTTATAAACCCAGAGTGAGGCCCCTTCTGATGGTGAGGAGTGTGGTTATAGACTTGTCACTTAGAGATGTCCTCCAATCTTGAACACGTGTCTCCATTGGCCCTCTTGGCCACTCTCCTTTCCCCTCTGCCCCCACACCACCAGGCCTGGAATCCAAGGGGCTGTGCTGAGGCTCTTGTCCATGATGAGCAGAGGGCTTTACTAGCCTCAGGAGCCTGGAGCAGAGGCCTGGGCCCATTGATCATAGCAACATTCTTTCCATCTAGGACAGCAGTGAGGACAAGCGCTTCTCCCTAAAGGGCAGACAGACAGCTCCCCATTCTGGTAGGACTACCCTCCCAGCTGTCCTTGACCACTTCTGAGTCTAGCCCGACCTCACAGGCTAGGGCAACTGAATTTCAGAGCATCCCCCTCCTTGTGGCTCTCCACCTGTCTGTGCTCTCATGGGCATCATGTCCAGCCCAGTCGGCTTCTTGTATGCCCTAGCATAATCCCCTGAGAATGTTTGGGGGAGGCCAGCAGGTCCCCAGAGCTTCTTGGAAGGCAGAGCAGCAGAGTTAAGTGCAGAGATCCCAGGGACAGGTTACCTGGCTTCGTATCTCTACCATGACAGTTTACTCTTGGGCAAATTACCAAATCTCTAGACCTCACCTTCCCCAACTGTCAAATAGGAATAATAATCGTACCTATCTTAAAGGGTTGGAATGAGGATTAAGTGGGGTGTTTAAAATAGTGCTTGGCACAGAGCAAGCACTTTTAAAAGGATGGTGATGGTGGTGGTGATTACCCTTATTAGTACCCTTGGCGAAACCTTACCAAGCAAGACCACTTCAGTCAGAGGGGAGAGATTTTGCCATTCATAGCTAGAGGCTAGGTTTCTGTCTGGTTATACAAGGTGGTGTTTCCACCACTACTGGATGCTATCAGGCCATGATTGCCAGGTGGAGCTGTTGAGGTTGTGGTGCCAAGGGAAGGAGTTGTCAAGTATGATAGCTTCTACTTCTATACAATGGAAGATCTCTTCTGTGCCTACTCGGAAGACTCACCACCCTGACTTCTGGAAAAAAGAGATCAGCCTGGACTTTAAAATATACTTAGCTCAAGAGCCACTAGTAAGTTTACATTCTGGGGGGTGGTGCTCTGAAGCCAGGGAATAGCTAGAGGTAAGGACTGAGCAGGCCCTGGAGCAAGTGTTCCCTAAAACAGCAGCTGATGGGGATGTCCCAGGCCACTCTCCATGTAGCCCCTATTGTTTGTCTTGTGGGGAGGAGGCAGGGCAGAGAGTAGGAAGGAGGGACTCTTGATAGTCCCAGGAGAGTCCTTTGGGTAGGAAGTGTCTGAGGGCCCTTGAAGTCACCAGGGAGGCTGCTAGTTCCTGCCTGGATGTTGTTTGGGCAATTGTAGAAGAGAGGCCCCAAGACCGATCCATCTGACCACAAGAGGCTCCAGACTACTCCATGGGGAGGCCCCCTATCCTGCACTTTCGGACCAGGCTAGGTGATGGGTCTGACTTCTGAGCCTCAGGTGTCAGAAGGTGAGGGTCACTGGAGAGGGCCCAGAGATTCCCTGGGACCCCCAGTGCCTCCCCCAACCAACCAGCCAGCATTCCTGGATCTTCTCATCCTGGACTCCCCTCAGTTGAAGATTCTTCCCAGAAGAGAGAGACATCCCTACTCTTCAAGAGGACTCTGGCAAGGAGAGGTATGAAGGAGTAGAAGCTGAGTAGGCCAGAGAGCCTTTCTGAGCTGAGAGCTATACCATCTGAGGCCATGGCATAGTGCTGAGATGGCCCCAGTGGTTGAACCCACCTACCAGGTAACCTCAGGATTTGCAAATCAAGCAAAGTGCTCTCTGAGCAGGAGCTTAGAGTCTGGCCTCCAAAGATGGGGTGGGGGCTGAAGACAGAGCAATACCTTGCCCTTCCTGGCTGGTTGGGACTCTGCTCTGGCTCTCCTTATGCTCACACCACGTTCCTGCGTGGAGGCCCTGCTTTGGTTTGCTGGCTTTGACCCTCTCAGTAAGATTCTCAGAGTAAGTAACTTGCCGGACTAAGGCCAGCACGGCAGAAGCAGAGCCTGCCTTGGGAAGCCCCACCTCTAGGCCTTCTTTTACCATCTGCACAAAAAAGCAGTTTGGACAACCTAACACCAAGTAATGGCTGTTTCTGCTTTCACTATGGCATATGGAGAACTGGCTTTTGGTGGCTACCTTCAGACTCATGGTAACCTGTCTGACTGACTTCGGCTCGAGTAGTGATCCCGGGGTCCTGGGATCGAGCCCTCGGTCAGGTAGGACTCCCCACTCATTGGAGAGAGTCTGCTTATCACTCTCCCTCTGCTCCTTCCCTCAATCATGAATAATAAATAAATAAATAAATAAATAAATAAATAAATAAATAAAATGATTAAAGCACGTGGGCCTTAATTTTTTAAAAAGACTTTATTTATTTGAGACAGAGAGAGAGAGAAAGCACAGGGAGAGGAGCAGAGGGAGAGGGAGAGAAAGAGAATCTCCAGAAGACTCCATGCTGAGCATGGAGCCCAACACAGGGCTCAATCCCACAACCCTGAGATCATGGTCCAAGCCAAAATCAAGAGTGGTCACTCAACCAGTTGAGCCACCCAGGCACCCCAGGGCCTTAAATTTTAAAAATTATTTAGGGGTGCCTGGCTGGGTTAGTTGGTAGAACGGCAACTCTTGGTCTCAGGGTCATGAGTTAGTGCCCCATGTGTAGTGTAGAGTTTACTTAAAATTTAAAAAAAAAATTTTTTTTTAAATGAAAGCTACTTGGAGGTAGTATTAGAGTAGGCTTGTCAGTGGTTCACTGAGTCTGTTCTGGGCCCCCACCCCACCCCCGGCAACACAGAGGTGGATGAGGCATGGATGATCTTGTCATTTGAGGGAGTCACATCTAGTCATGGGGACAAACATAAGCAGACTAAGTTACAAAATGGGCCAAGGGCCTAATGGACATCTGTCAGAAGGCACAGACTTGAAAATACCAGATTGAGGGATGAAAGTCTGGGAAGGCTTCACAGAGGAGGTGATGATGGAGCCAAACCCTGAAGGATAAATAAGAGTTCCTGAGATAGGAAAGGGCATGCCAGGCAAAGGGAACACCACAGATGGAAGAGTGATGGAGGATGGTGGTTGTAGAAGAAATGAGCCGGGGCTGGGCATTTGCTGGATGGGAAATTGATAAGGCCTGAAACTGAGAAGATGGGAAGAGGCCTTGGATCCTCATCCTGAAGACAATGGGGAACCATTACAAGGATTCTGAGCAGAGGAGTAAAACGACCAGGTCTGTACTTTATAAGGATGGCATTGCCACTTGCCAATTCCTGGACTGTCGCAACAATGCCCTAATGGGCCCTCTCTAATCCAGTCTTCAATGACAGATAAAAACAAATCTGACCATTTCATCCCCCTGTTTAACATCAACTTTCAATAAATACATGTTCAATAAATATTTAATGAATGAAAGATGAAATGAATGAAAGGGGTATCTGTAATGGCCCTTCTTCTATTTTTCTGGGTCTGTGGGTCTAAGATAAACACTTCCTGACTTCCTTTCTGGGACAGTAAGATCAGAGAAGGGAAGGGACTTGCTCAAAGTCACACAGCAAGTCATCAGCAGTGCCTCTGCTTCCTATCCCATTGGGATTCTGAGGGGTTATCCTTGCCAAGAAAGCCCTGGGCCCTGTTTTGCCTGGTATCTGAGTCCCCAGGATTGACCTCCCAGCACAGGGCCTCTTAGCCCACAGAACACTCCACCTGTCACCACGCAACATCAGCTCCCCGTCCTCTCCTGCCAGGAGTAGGGTTGAAATCCGGAATTCCTCCTTCTCACCTTGCAATCTTGATCTCTCCCTTTGGTGCTGCCGCTAGGAGGAACATCAGGGTCTGCTAGGATCTGGGCTGGGTGTGGGGTTCTAAGCCCCCCGTTAGGCTGGGGTCTGTGTCCTGGAGCTAAATGGGTCTGTGTTGGGTTCTAGGCTTTTGAGTAGCTGCTGCTGCTTCCTTTTATTTTTTTTTTAAGATTTTATTTATTTATTCATGAGAGACAGAGAGAGAGAGAGAGAGGCAGAGACACAGGCAGAGGGAGAAGCAGGCTCCATGCAGGGAGCCCAATGAGGGACTCGATCCTGGATCCTGGAATCACACCCTGACCCAAAGGCAGATGCTCAACTGCTGAGCCACCAGGTGTCCTACTTCTTTAAAAAATTTTTTTTAAAAAAATTTATTTGACAGAGTATAAGCAGGAGGAGCAGCCTAGGGAGAGGGAGAAGAAGGCCCCCACTGAGCAGGGAGCTCGATTCAGGGCTCGATTCCAGGATCCTGAGATCATGATCTGAGTCAAAGGCAGACACTCAACCGACTGAGCCACCCAAGTGCCCCTTTTGGGTAGCTTCTCACTGGACTCCGGGCTGCTCTGTGCTCCAGACTTTGGACCTAGCTTTAGTCTGAATTCTAGGCTCTGGGCTTCCAGCCCTCTGGCTCTGGGTTCTAGGCTGTGAACTGGGTTCCTGGTCCAAGACTTGGTTCTAAGTTCTGAGCTCTGGTCTTTATAGCTCTGGCTAGACTTCGGGCCTGAACTGAGTGAGTTCTGATCTCTGTGGTCTGAGTTCTGGGTTCTGGGCTTTAGTGTAGAACTTTGGAACTGGGCTGGGCTTGTTTGGGCTCTGGGTTCTAGGCTTTGAGCTGGACTTTGGGGCTGGGCTGGACCGTAATCTTTTTTTTTTTTTTTTCAGATTTTATTTATTTATTCAAGAGAGATACAGAGAGAAGCAGAGACACAGGCAGAGGGAGAAGCAGGCTCCCCGGGGGGAGCCCAATGCGGAACTCAATCCCAGGACTTCAGGATCACGCCCTGAGCCAAAGGCAGATGCTCAACCACTGACCCACCCAGGTGCCCCTAGACTGTATTCTAAACCCCAGGCAGGAAACTGATTTCTCCTCTGAATTCCAGGCGCTGGGGTTTATGTTGGGTGGGAGCAAGAGACCTTAGAAGGGAAAGTAGCAAGTTCTTAAGCCTCTCTCCTCACCCCACTCCTTTCTGGAGACTTTCAGCTTTGCTCCCTCCTTCTAATAGGGCCAAAGTGAAGGTGGTAGTGGCTTTCCCTGAGCTTTCTAAGGACTTCTCTCCCCATCAGTAAGAAATGAGAGGTGAAGGATGAGGCTGGGGGCATGTGGAAGTGTCCTCACCTGGCCACAAACCATCCTGCTCATTCTCAAGGACGTTCCCAGGGAGCAGAGAGCAGTGACAACACACAGGCGCAGCTCATAGCCCAGCACCTTGTGGGAAAACCGGCCACGACAGGGGCTGGGACTGACTGAGGGGCTTCCACCCTCACCTTTCCCCACCTCACTCCCGAGACTTCACCCCACCCTCTGCCCTGGCCAGGAGTTGGGCTTGAAGCTCCCTCAGTCCCCAGAAGTCATTCCGAGAGTTCACCCTAAGCCTTTACTCAAAGCCGTGACCTGTACCCTGACTGCCTTGTCCTTTATGATGGGCTGCTCTATACTTTATTCCCCTTCAGGGAAGGTCCTCTTCCTCCCATGACTGCTCTGAAGCCTCCCACCCTGCAGGACTCCTCCCTAGCCCCCTGCTGGATATGCTCACTCCAAGGGCTGCCATGAAGGCAAGGTCCACATACATGTGACAGACTTCACTGAAGGGGCAGGAATTCCTGTGGGGAAATACAACTAGAAGAGATCATTTTAAATTCTGCATGTCACATGACTACCCAAGGGAAAAACAACCAAAACCTGTTAACAGGATGTCCCCTCGTGAGTACACTGAGTTCCTAACTTTATTCTCTTGTCTCAGATCTTCCTTCCCTTACACCCACTGAAAGAGACCACCTTTTCAATTCTCCCCTGGACAAAAATCTCCATCAGGCTCTGTTCAGGAAACCTCACCCCCTAAGCCACATGGGACAGGATCAACAGGATAAGAAACACTTAGCAGAACACTTCCCAAAGTCTGAGTTATTCAGTCTAAAAGAATATTACAGGGGCACCTGGGTGGCTCAGTTGGTTAAGCATCTGCCTTTGGCTCAGATCATGATCCTAGGGGCTAGGGAGGAGTCCTGCAGGGTGGGAGGCTCCAGAGCAGTCATGGGAGGAAGAGGACCTTCCCTGAAGGGGAATAAAATATAGAGCTTGCTCGGCTGGGAGCCTGCTTCTGCCTCTGCCTGCAGCTCCCCCTGCTTGTGCTCTCTCTCTCTCTCACTCTCTCTCTCTCTCTGTCAAATAAATAAAATCTTTAAAAAAAATAAAAATATTTCAGCAGGAACATGGAAGGGCTCAGGCAAATAGCCTTCACCAAACAGCCCAGGATTGGCTTGGAAATTTTGACCCTCAGTCTCCCGTCTCTTTAAAATCTTGCCACCGGGATCCCTGGGTGGCGCAGCGGTTTGGCACCTGCCTTTGGCCCAGGGCGCGATCCTAGGGACCCCGGGTCGAATCCCACGTCGGGCTCCCGGTGCATGGAGCCTGCTTCTCCCTCTGCCTGTGTCTCTGCCTCTCTCTGTGTGTGTGTGTGACTATCATAAATAAATAAACATTTAAAAATAAATAAATAAATAAATAAAATCTTGCCACCGGTGAGAAGTGATGAGCTATGCCTCCTCCTCATTGTTCAGATTTGGCCTTTTGAGGTGAGTGGGAACGGCAGGAGAGTGGTTAAATGCAGATCAAACACATACACACTCCTACAAAACACAAGTGTTTCTTCTCAGCAGCAACTTAGTCTAAATCCATGTTGAGGAGGAGAAACACTTTCCTAAAAGCCCCATAATCTGGTCCCTGCGCATGGTGGAGGTAGCTCATATTGTGTTTTGGGGCAATGTCAGACCCTCTGGGTACCTCATCTTGCTTCCAGCATAACAAAGGGCCTGGCAAAGAGCATCAGCCTATCCTAGTCCCTCTTGGATATGTGATGTCCTTGTAAGACATTACATTTGTCCTCCCAAATCATGGGAGGGGAGCCCTAGAATTCTTCCCATGCCCGAGAAGAACAATGCAGAAGTGTGGGGCATTGGGTTTCCCAGTATATACTCATGCTTTCCATCTGAGCTCCTGTCCCCCGCTCTGACCACTGCAGTCTCAGGGCTCTGTTCGCCCACCCCGGGAAAGCCTCTATCTGAAACGCACAGGGGCATGCTCAGTTCTTGACACGTTTCATGTTTGTTCATTCTGTCTCCCCAGCCAGATTGGGAACCCCAGGATACAGGATGACCATTCTCTGAGCCCTGACTCGGTGTCAGGCAGTCCTCGAGGAGTTCAGAGTCTAGAGGGAGAGATCAACAGGTAAATAAATCATTACAGTAGAAGTCTGATAAAAAAAATCATGCTAAAGGTAAACAGAGGAGTGATACGGGCACAGCTGCCACGTTGCACAACGCCAGGGGCCTGCCAGTCATAACTGGTCGCTCGCTAGAGATAATGCAATGAGATGGCCCTGGTCATGTGCAAGCCCAGAGGAGGCATCTAACCCGGCGTTGGCGGTCTCAACAAGTCCCTTAAGGATATGAGCTATTAGCAGAGGCCCGAAGGGCAAGTTTACCAGGCAGATGAGGAGTGAAGGGCACTTGAAGCAGAGCAAACAGCATGTGTGAAGCCAAAGGGGGTGAGGGAACATGCGAAGTGTTAGGAAATAGCAGGAAATACATTTTGGCTGAAGCCCTGGGCACATGAGGAATGCCTAAAGCTTGTTTGTTAAAGTGAGTTAATGAATGCAAGAAAGACAAAAATCATAATCACCCACATTTGTTAGCTACTCACTCTACACCAAGCACTGTGCGGGGTGGTTTATGTGAATTCTCTAATTTTAACTTTACAACAGCCCCATGAGGGAAGTTCTTTATTATCCTGCTGTCTGCAGATAAGGAAACTGAGGCCCAGGAAAAGTTAGTTGACTTGCTCAAGGGCAGAGAGAATGGCAGAGCCAGGGCGGAAACCTGTATGTCCTGGACTCTGGAACCCTGAGCCCTTGATCACTGCTTTTCCTACAACACCGGCGCCCTTAACTTTGGGCGGAGGTGACCCAGGTCATCTGGTACCGACCCAGGTCAGCTCTTCTCAGCCTCGTCCCAGGGCTTCTCCTCCTTGGTATGACCTTAGATGTCAGAGCTCTGAGGACCTCTTCTCTTGACCTTCTGTTCTCCTTACCCCATCTTCTCCCACCCTATCAGTGACTCTGTACCAACAACTTCCCGGTCTGCAGCTTCACCCAGTCTGAATGCCTGCCTGTGTATTTCACACAGTCCTTAACACAACCGATATTTTCTAGTTTGTTCGGCACCGGGCTTGATAGATGATGTGGACCCTGCCCTCGTGAGCTCACAGTCAGGCGAGCAGATAGAGCTAGGCGAGTGGAATGGAATGTGTTGGTAGAGAGAGCTGATACCAGGAAAGTGGATCAGTTAGGTCTGGGTTTGGCTGTTGGTACAAAAGCCACAAATCACGACCACATCACCTGGAAATACTCAGTCCAGAGCTGGTGTGGTAGCTCTGTGATCATCAGAGCAGAGCCCGGTGCTTTCCGTTCCACTGTCCTGTCATCCTGAACATGGTGCTTGCTTCTCATTGGCCAGCATAGCTGCTGAAGCTCTGGTCATCACATTTGCGTTCCAGTCAGTTGGAAGCAGGAAGATGTGAAAAAGAGCACACTCTCCCTTTATAAATAGTTCCTGGAAATTGCACAAAATACTTCTGCCCAGAAGCTATTGACCAAGCACTTCGTCACAGAGTCACACCTAGCCATAAGGAATTCTGACAAATACGGTTTTTGCTCTGAGCCAGCCCATGGGCCCAGCTGAAAATCAGGGTTGTATGACTGAGGGCAAGCAGAATAATGGATATTAGGGGGCCACTAGTTGTTTCAACCTCAGAAAGTACCCAAAGGACCCAACACTTCACTTGAATTTTGGGGGATGAATCAGAGTTAGCCAGGCTGCAGAGCGTATTCTTGGAAATGCAAGCAGTTCAAGGTGTCTCCAGCATGGAGTGCACCTTGGGGAGTAATGGAAAAATACAGACAAGATCACATCATCTAAGTCATTTTTGGGGGGTGGGGGGAGTCGTGGCTCATTCTGAGGAAAGAGACACACCTGGAGGTGTGGTGGGGAGGAGCCAACCTGTGTTAAAATTAGTTTTCTCCAGAGATTAACAGCCTAGGTGTGGCTTGGCTTTAGAAGTCCCTTGACTTTCCTTCCCAGGCCTGGAGTTCCAAGAGATGCCAATTTGCAACTGTGGCACACCATGCCACAGATACACACGGTCACTCACCTACACATCACACCCAGGTTGTGTGGTTCCTGTGTTTGGAGGGCAGGGTTGTCTTAGCCTTAGGAACCTGTGCCTTGTAAGCTTCGATGGACAAAGATTTGGCAGGAAGACTCTGGAAGTTCTGGAGTGGGGCTGCAGTACTGAAGTAATCATTTAGGAGCCGGCAGTGGCCACAAGGCCATTGGCCTCACGAGCCTCCACTGCTGGTCAAAGGCAGGATATTGCCACATGAACTACCAGCTGTAGCATCCTCCCCAGACACATCACCAGGACTTCCAAAGGTTGTGTTTATTTCTCTGGCTTTTTTTTTTTTTTTTTTTGCAGACATCAGGGCAAGATAATCAGCTGGGAGAGGAGCGTCTGGCTCTCTAGAGAATAGACCCAACCCCCTTGACGCTGACCTTGTTGCCCTTCTCTGCTCTTGCAGCAAGTAGACAAGTGACCTTGGCCGGGCCACCTCAGAGAGTTCAGCAGGGAATCCTAAATGCACCAGCACCCCCCCACTCCCTAACAGAGCTCTCCAGTTCACACTCCCCCTGTTCCCGTTCAAACAAGACACACGCATCAAATAGACCCACCAACACATGTTGCTCACACCAAGTACCCAGATCTACATCTATTGCCCCGCATACAGGAATTCACACACAAAAGTCACATGCACACACGACACATGTGCTACGTGTAGATACAGCCCTCCAGCTACCCACATCACTTACAGACCTGCACATATCACACACAGACATATATATGTTACACATGATACGCTAACACACCTATTCTTACCATACAGCATGCCACAAATACATCCATCCCTACACATTCACTTACCTATTTACACATCATACCCAGACCCCCCTTTGATGCTGGTTCCTGTGTTTGAGGTATAGGACCCCCCAGGTTCCTTCATCCATAGGAACCCTTGCCTTCTGAGCTTTGATGGACAGAGCTCAGGAGGCAATCAGAGAAGAGAAGGGAGCGCCCCTCCCTCCCCAACCCAAATACATATATTCAGTCCACAGCAAAGAAGGAAGACTAGCCTTTCCCCCAGTACCCTATGGACCCATGTTTGCCCCTGACGTCAGGGACATGGAGTTCTGGGCAGGGGATCCAGTATGGTGCCCTGGCTCTGCCCCCACTGTCCAAGATGCCCTAGGGACAACAACCCTAGCCAGAAGCCTGGAAGCAAGGCTGTGCCAGGCCCACGAATGTCATAGTGGCAGGACAGCCCTTATGCAATGGGCACCGTGGAATGTGCAGGGTGCCTGTGGGAGCTGATCCAGTGGACCTGGGGAACCAGTGGAGAGGAAAGGCCCTGGCGGTTATTGACATCTACTCGGTGCCAGGTGCCATGTCTAGACCTCCACAGCATTGTCTCCTATCATCTGCACATCATCTGTCATCCCAGTTTATAGATAAAGAGAATTGGGGCCCACTTTGGTGCTCAAAGCCTCACAGCCAGTAAGTGGTAAGGTCTTGCCTTGAACCTGGGACTCTGTCCCTACAGCACCAGGGCCCCAAGCTTAGGTTGGGGTGCCACAGCGAGGCAGCTCCAGGGCAGGAGTGATCCCAGCAGCAGATAGGCCACGTGGGGCTCTATTCTGGTCTTTTTGCCATCTCTCTCCCTTCTCACTGGAGGTACAGATACCCCCTGCTTTTCAAAAGTTTGCATTAAACACCATTTTTGCTTTTACAAAAGACCTATATTAGTACCTTTTTTTGCTAACTGAAGAAATCTGAAGAGGATTTTTGCTTTTTTTAAAAAGATAGCAAATGGCAAAAAGAGCACCCAGTGCTTGTTTTGCGTCAAGCCGTCATAGAAGGAGTACGCACCCCTGACAGTGAGAGTGACATTGCCAAACTCCTTCCCTGGGAACCGCGCTCAGCATCCCAGCATCAAGCCACCAGAGATCTGAACTGTGTCTGTAGACATCTGTGCTTTCTCTTGATTTATCTTGCACACCCATTAGCAAGACGTGTCATAAAGTATCGAAAAGCATATCAGAAAAGCCTAACAGAAGCTACTTTCAGGGTCTGGGAATGCTGAAGATTTTTTTCCATATAAATTAATGGCACTTGCTTCTTTATGCCATTTCAGCTTATGAGAGGTTTCATAGGAATGCAGGGCAAACCTGTAACTGAGGTAGGAGACCTCAGCCCAGAAAAGTGGAGCTGGGGATTGGGAAGGTAGGAAACATGGGGCACCTGCCTGGCTCAGTTGGTAGAGCATGCAGCTCTTGATCTCAGGGTCATGAGTTTGAGCCCCACACTGGGGATAGAGTTTACTTAAAAATTTAAAAAAAATAATAGTTTTTTTAAAAAAAGAAAGAAACAAAATTTTAAAGGGGGTGGGGTAGGAAACAAATGAATGGGTTGTGAGTTTGGACCCAATGCCATAGACTAAGCCCATATTAGTCCTGGATATTGAGCCAAAGCTGGTGTTAGACATGAGCCGGAGCTACAGCTTGAAGCAGGTCAGAATGAGAATCAGATATGAGTCTGAGCCAGGAGGCTGGACCTGGAGCTGCCACTGTCACTGGAGTGGATCCAGGTCAGCCCTGAGCCAGAACAGAGGGACGGGAGATGGAGGCTGAGGTGCTCCCACCTCATGCTTACAGAATCTCCCCCACTGGCTCAGGTAATTGCTGGGCCCTGAGATGGGATGCACAGAAGCTCACACCACTCAGGAAAGAGAGACAGGAACACAAAGAACTTTAATCCAAGGCACACTAGACTTTGCTAACAGACTCTCCATGCATCTAGGCCTTCAAGGGTGGCCAGGGCTTCAAGCACCAGGATCCAGAGATAGATGAGGGAGATTGGGGTAGGCCAGATTGGCACTGGGAACAGAGGCCCGGAGGCAAGTGAGCTAGCATCTTATTTCACTGGAACAGACCAGGGAACAGTAAGCATCAGGCTGGCAATGTTGGTGACCAGAGCCCACAGGACTTGATGTCCTGCTTGGGAATTTGGACTTTATCTAGAGGGCAACAGGACATCACTGGCAAGTTTTAAGAAGGATG